CACAGTGCTTTGCAGATGTGAGCATGCGTGAATACTGCACTGAAATCAGTGAGCGACTTGTGGCAACTCTGTTGTCTAGTTTCTTGATCCTGACGAATAGGTATCAGGGATCTTATGGCAGGAAACCAGACTAATCTACGATACACAACGTGACTTCACGTGTATGCCATCCACGCAACGTGTAAACAAACTCGAAGAAATGGCTAATGACGAATGGAAAAACTTCAAAAGAGCAATGAAAGATGAGCAAAGTGGAAAGACCACGAATGAAGTTTTGAAGCGGGAAGAATCACAGTTCAGAGGTTAAGCTCTGAAGTATCCGGCAAAGCCCAAAAATACACCAGAATGGGGCCATGTGAATTTGTGCCATTCGAGTTAGACGATTTGTCTCTTGTCAACATAAAGGAAGCGTGCATGCAGTACTTCACCGACAGAATCAGCGAGGGGTTTGAGTGCGATATCCTGGCCGGAGAGCAAGGGCCGTCTTGCTTTTCCCTGGACCAGCTTCCAGACCTTCGGCTGGTCCACATTCAATTCGTGGAGAAAGTGTTGAGCGGGAATGAGGCGAGACCAGAGGCGGTAGTCTATGATGGGCCTAACGTTACTACGACCACGACGACAAAGCCAGGTAAACGTAAGCGCCCCATTTCATTACCGAGCCCAACAAAGACGAAAGAAGGGCGAAGGCCATCATGCCCCAACTTCCCTAAGAGTCTTTCTGTGGTTGAAATGATGCGTTTGGGCCAAGTAATTGATGAGAAACTTAAAAGCATCAAATTGTTTTCTTTCGACATCAATGAACTGAGATGGTGTAGCAGACCCAGAACAGTTGATTTTTCTTTAGAGAGGAAGCCTTTTGCCAAAGGGGGCTTTCGCCTTGCATTTAAGGCCAAAACCAGGGATGCCGACTATTCATCAAAGACATGGGTGGTCAAGAAATACCAGACGAGGACAATGGAGGATATCCTGGCACTCAATCAAACAGTGGAGCAGCATACCAAGAAGGTTGTGCAGATGCACATGCTGGCCAAGAACATGTGTGAGAAACTGGAACAGGAACTTGAAAAAGACGGAAACCTGATGAAGTACGGGCAGACTCTCTCATACAATGACATCTTCATGGGGCGCATGCCAAGCAAACAGGATGGAGCGCAGTGGGTCACGGTGGAAGAATTTGTGGAAAGAGACTTTGCCAAGCACATGAACAACAACGAAGACTGGTCTCAGGAGGAGTCTGAAGTTGCAAGAAAGTGTGCCAGTCTAGCACACTTCAGTCTAGAGCGTTCCCATGGCCAGCTGGTCATAGTTGATTTGCAGGGATGTGGTCACAAGCTGTTTGACCCAGAAGTTGCCTCACGGGAACAAGCAAGAGATGGAGAGATCCTCTTCACCTCCGGAAACCTGTCAGTGCTGGCAATTGATAACTTTCTGGAAGGCCACACCGAGTGCAATGAATATTGCAAAATTCTGGGACTGAAAGGTTTAAACACTATCTGAATCCATGTGGCTCTTGCATGCAAGTTGCAGGGTTGGACCACAAACACATCTTGACTGCTTTAAGTACTGCATCATACTAGGCCCCCAAGGTGACTCATGAAGAATATGCAGAGTGGAGTTGTTACAAAATGAGACATATTCACACATGTAAATGAAGGGAGAATGCCAGTCTGTATGGTTTTTTACTTCAATTCCTATCGAACTTTTAAATGAATGATTTTAATCACTTTTGCCTGTTTTAACTTTTTCAAAGGAAAAGTAAATTAAACATTAATTTGATGCTTAAAACAACTGATGCTGGAAAAAGTACATGTGAAATGATTTTAACATTCTACTTAAAAATTTAGGAAAACAAAAATTAGGTTACCCGAATCATCCATAGTACAAGTTAAACTTAAGGGAATATACATCATTTGCTTTTGCTGTAATTTTCAGAAATGGATGGAATGGGGGGGGGGTGGAAATATATAGGAAATATAGTTACACTGACTTTTTTGAGGTTTTGGGTTCGAAAATGCTATAAAAACCAAGAAAAACAATAATTTTCCTGTAGTCTGGTTCCCTGACTCCATATAAGAAGAAACAGCAGTTTACATACATTGGGGAATTGTAAGGTCAGGGAACCAGTCTAGCTGGCTTGTACCCGTTCATAGGTGTGTAATCGATTGCAAACAAGTGCGATGGTCAATTGGGGCCAGTATTTGAAAAAAAAAACCCAGTTTTTTTCCAACGCTGGTCGGCCGACCAGCGTTGGAAATTGATACAAAAATACCACTTTCCTTGAAAATGACAGTATACCAGGTGCCATGATAACAGTCCAGCAAGGTATTTCAAAATGATTTGGTAGTTTTATTTTTTGATGTTTGCAAATGTTGTATATTCCCTTTAAGTCACCGAGTCAAGTGTGACTACATGTAATAAACAGCACGTATACCATGAAGGGAATGAAAACTTTAATAACTGCTTGTTTTACCTACTGTTGAGTTCTTTTTTTATCTACATGTAAATATGGGCCTATGGTTCTGAATTTGAACATCATACTTAACACACTGAAAAATTATGATGATTACAATATGATTTTCACTGGTTTTGATCTTGATATATATGCCAACGATTTCTCTGATGAAACAAATTAAAAAACTTTCCAGATATACGTTTTCTGAAATTGTTACCTTTAATTTTTTCTTTAACATACCTTTTTGAGAAGGACCTTTTGAAACAACTGAAACTTAATTGTGAAGGATGCAAACATTTTTAGGCTGTTACTTAAGATGTATGATTAGAAGTACATTGTACTGTCAATGGCATCTGGTTAGAGTTTGGGTACTTCCTGTATGGAAAAGGAACTAATTAGATATAAATTCTAATCATGTTATAATATATGTTGAAATAAAAGTCTATGTAGTTTTAATACATGTAGCTATGATGGAACTAAATATGCCAAAACAGAAAGGAAAGGTCACTTTGACTGAAAGACTTGCCAAATCATCATAGTCATTTGTGACCTGTTCTGTCAAAATCATTTCTGGGCATATGGTCAAAATGAGTCTTTTGCATATTTTTAAAATACATGTTCTTTTTCCTTTTAATAGGTGGTTTAATTTTTTAATCCGGTCATTCCTGTGCAAAGTTATGCTATTTTGAAGTTCATTGTGTTTAAAAGTAGAAAATGGAGAAAATGGCCTCGAACGTCACAAAACAGTAATTTCTTTAACTGATATATCTTAGAAAATAGTCAAAAATACTACATTTAGAGTTCAACTTAGGGTTTCAAACTTTTATAGTATATTTTAGACATGTTCAGGATTAAACATATGCACAAATTTGAAAATCGAAAAAAATCACCCCCACAGCGTTTTTTAAGCCATATCTCAATTTCAATCTCTGCCCAGAAGAGTCTGCTTTGACAGAACAGGTCACATTTTATCTCTCAGTAAGTCTAGGCAAAAATATACTTATGGAACGTCTTGGTTGTTTTAATGAAAACTGAAATGGTGTCTTAAATAAAGGTAAGCTTGTTTGCAATCGTTGGCCTTGATGTTTTCAACATTGGGTATAAATCTCTCACATTCCCGCCTAAACAGAGGCTTCAGAAAATCTTAAGGACATTTGAGGACATTGGACACCTCAGCTGCCTCCTGTAGTTGCTCTTCAGTGAGTGAAAAACTTGCAGACACACATAAAATCTCTGTCAATATTGTAATGGCTAAGAAACATTTCAGATGGATGAGGGTGTAGCAGCAGTGACCTGTATAGTACAATACACAGTAACATATCCTTAATCACATCTTTGATTTTTATACGTACCATAATAAAAACAGGATGCCAACAATTTGCATACTCCAATAGTAGTCCAATTTCAATTACTGTCCATGACAAATCCACCTATCGGCCTAAAGACTGTAAAATGCTCGTTCAGGTATTTTGGCTGATAAATGTCCAAAGGTTTTCAAAATAGGAACATGCAAGGGCTGGGATTATTTGTAGATGTGACAAGTACAACATTATGACTTCAAGTTACATATTCTCTGACACAGTTATGCAGTGACCATGGTGATGTGTTTTAATGTTTTCCAAAACTTATTTCTGTCAGCCAACCACATCTCATTTCTGCTACAGTACATGTATCACAGTTCCACTCACAGATAAATTAGTTGTGTACATGACATGTAGGCCTACAATTAAAAAGCATAACAAAAACACAGTAATTACCACATTGCTCTAGGCCATATTCCTCTGGAAAACCATAGATGTGATTGGGGATCCCATTGGGCAAGACTGTGTCCTTCTGAGGTCTGATTCTGTGGGTGTTTCATACAGTCTCCTTGAAAGTGTTCAATTCTCTTTGCAGGACAGGTACCATGAGCATTCTAAATAAAAAAAAAAATTATGCACAAAGAGTTACACTTAATTAATTACAAGCTTGATTGAAATTGAACTGTAAATGTCATAAATGAGCCTACAGACAAAGATTGAAAGATTCGCCAAAGCAGTTGCCTGAGTTTCTAATTTTTAAATTGAACAAAAAAGTGCCACTTGCAAAAACAGTGTATCAAAAAGCATTTATTCTGCCACCACGCGAACGTTTGTATGTTACACCTCAACTATAGCATCGGTCCAAACTACATTGTATTGTTGGGACCAATTCCATAGTTGGGGCGTAACATAGTGCATGGGGAGTAAAGAAAGCATTTTGGTGATGTTATATACATGTATGTGTACATGCAACTGTATATGTACATGCAACTGTATATGAAGACAAAACCTGATTTCATGATTCTGCAATTCAATTCCAGCAGGTTAATTCTGCAGTCCAATACAAAATCCAACTCAGTTACATGTAGTTTATTACTAATCCTCCCCTGGTAAAATTTTGAACTTGTCCCCGAGTGCATCTCAACTAACAAGAGTTATTGTCATACGACAGTTTCAACTGCTTAAATCTAGGCCTATATGTAAACATACAAATGTACCTGTCAGTTGCATCGTTTGGGTTATAAAACCCTTGCTCCTTAAGCCACACAAGCATGGCCTTGAAGAACTTTTCAAGTCTTTCGTGCAGCTCTTTCCACCATCTTTCAATCTGGAAACATACAAGTACAAGGTCAATGGCAATCTGGCAAACAAAACCAGTTCCTTTGATTGGTAACCATGGAAGACCCGTCAGGGCGCTTAACTGAAGAAATAGAAGAAGCTTTTTTATGATTAAAATCTGTCTCGAAGAACTGGCTGGAAGAGTGCTCTCCCTCATTCAAACGATGGATGCGGGATCGCACCCTCGCTCCTTCGGCTAAAAAATCATCTAATTCAGCAAGAGAAAGTTTAACTTGGTTATATTCAGCAAGAAGGTTCTCATCCTTGCTCCCTTGGTTAAGAAGGGAAGTGATCCGCTCAAGAGAAGAAAGAAGACGATCTTTCTCCTTTTTTCTGGTCTGAGAAAGACGGCAAGAGTGGGCTATAATTAAATATTTGCTACGGAGCTTCACGTCCTCCCACCAATCCAACTCGTTATCAAAACCTTCTTTGAGCGTTCGCCACCCTAAATAGGCTGTCTTAAAAACTTCTTGAAAGGTCACATCTGTTAAAATGGAAGTATTACATTTCCAATATCCTCTTCCTCTCCTAGGAAGAGAGGAAGGGTTAAAGTTAAAAACAACACCATCATGGTCTGAGAAGTGGACAGGCACATGCGAAATGGTAATAAACTTCAAAGAATTAGTAATATAAATCGGTCCAGCCGACTACAAATGGTATTTGAGGCATTTCTTCAAGTAAAATATCTATCTTCAGGACAGGTGGTCCTCCAAGGGTCTGTCAGATTAAAATCGCCACACACGGAGCGAAGTTCCTGGTGACCGATGTCGCAGGTGACAGAAGATGTACCTATTCTGTCCAAGGCGGAATTAAGAACACAGTTAAAATCACCCGCTAAGATGAATGGACAATTCCCAGTAAAGTACTGGGAAAGATTATTGAAAAAATTCTTTTTATGAAGGGGGTCATTAGGAGCATAGACTGAAATCAGTCTAAAGCGACCACCTGACCCATCTAAAAACAGCTAGCAATTCTTCCTTGCAAATCACATTTAAAATCTGACAGTTTAAAAGAAGAACGTGGATTTAAAAGAATGGCAGTGCCACAAGAAGAAGCAGTACCGTAACTGGCTAAAATGTCCCCTTTCCACTCCGATTTCCAGAGTTGCAGGTCTACGGGGCCAGTTATATGACACTCCTGCAAAAAACAAACGTCAGAATCAAGACAAAGGTTAAAAACTTGCTGGCGTTTGTGAAAGTCACGCATGCCATTTACATTAAGAGTAAAAATAGTTATCATTAGGTTAAAAAGGAAGAATGCCTGGAGAAATGCCATTTAATTAAGAGTAAAATTTAAAGGAATTCCTTGAAGAAATCCGCCTGTTTCAAGATGGCGTCAGCGGCGTGTCTCCGGCAAATGTGCCGGCTCCACCTGCTTGGTGTATACGCTATGAACTGGCACCAGGGACACTTAAGTTGGGTAAGTGTGGTGTCCCTGTGCACCGATGAGACATGTCTGACTAGGCCCCACCATGCGGGACAGGTAAAAGAACAGGACAAAACTTTGCATCTTGCTGGCTTGCTGATTCCAGGGAGATTCAGCGAGCTAATATGTATTGCACATTTTTCCGTCTTCACAGGGTCCACTCCATCGACCTCACTGGCGGTGGAATCACCCTCGGACTCGACATCCGACGAGTCAGATGACGAGCTAGGGGAAGAGGAGGAGGAGTGGGAAGAACCAGAAGAAGATACTGCTTTTCTTCCTTTTGGTTTTTACCTGTTCGTGCTCCATTGACGAGTCACTGGAGCCAAATAGATCCGCAGCAGAAGGAGCGGATTTATTGCTGGCAGGAGCGTCCGGTGGTGATCGGGTCCGTTTTGCAGGACCCTTTCTCCTCCGAGCGACTTGAAACCCGTCGTCGTGGGCAGGGGCTACCACTTGTCTGCAGATGTTCCTGTCACATAAAAGGGAGGGTGGACCATTTGTGCCCTTACAGAGGGCGCACTCGAGAACTCTGAAAGATTCAGAAAGAAGAGAACCTTTGCATGAAAAGCAAACAATGCTAGGGTGAAAAGGCCCGGAAATTTTTTTACACTTAGGACATTCTTTGGCTGGAAGTTCTTGTTCATCAGCCGAACGCTCGCTAAGCCGCTCCCCTGCTGGCTGTGGTGGAGGAGGAGGAGGTGGAGCCGTAGTCGATTTACTCCATGCTCTCTCCAGTTGAACTTTTCTGGCGAAGGATTTGGGGCAGGCCCAAAAGCCATGCCCCTCCTCCCCGCAGATGGTGCATTTTGTGCTATTTGGACATTCATTTGCCACATGGCCGACCTGCAAGCATTTAAAACACTTTACATTATTGCAATCCCAGGCATAATGCCCTTGTTGGCCACAACGGGCACAAGTTCGGACTTGCCCGGGATTTGAAATCCAGGCATTACGATCTCCAAACCTGATTACTGTTGGGATGGCAGAGGTCACCTTCATCCGGTACTGCCTGGTACCATTAAATACAGTGGGGTTGTCCCTATACGTGGTGAATCTCCCTGCAATAACTTGACCATACTTGCCTAAGATATTTCTGACAATGCTATCATGGATGGCCATACTTACGTAGTGAATGACAATGTCGTTAAACTTGGTGACAGTGCACCCATCTGTGCCGGCTACTTTAGGGTAGAATTCCTTACATACCTGAGCACTCTTAAAGACTACTTCAAATTTATTTCCTTGCAAGGGCTGCACCGCCACCAAGTGTCGAGCTGCCTCAATGCCAATTCCTCTGAACTTGTCGAACACTGACTTCGGTGTCGTATCCTCTTCAAACTTAATCCCCAAGGCCTTGTCTTTATGTCAGGCATCGGCCATGGTGATCAAAATACTCTCTTCTAATATAGAAATATCAAAAACAGAGAATTATATGAGGCGGCAGTCACAGCTGCTGACTGACGAAAGAAGTAACAAAAGTAATAAGGCCCCGGGCTATCTGCACGGGGAAAGGGCGTTAAATATATACAACGGGAATAAGGGGCGTAGCTACTTGCTACTACTATGGAAGATTTACACAAATATAATGCACCTTGAGCTACCTGCTCAGGAAAGAAGTAAAGGGAATAATATACAGAAGGGGGCTACAGGAAATATATATATAACTGAGCAACTTGCTCAGAAGGGATGGAAATATACAAAAAGGGAAAGCCTATACTACGGTCAAAAAAACAAAATGGCCTACAAACTGCTGTATAGGAATTACACGGGGCTACGCACTGCCACAGCCCCACGTAAAGCTAAGGTATGGGAGCCGCACGCTGCTATGGCTCCGAACAAAAGACTAGAACAAAAGAGAACTGCAATAAAAGAAGGTGCTGTCGATAAGCTTATCATGTCCATCAACAGAATGCACAAAATTCGGACCTTTGGTTGTAAAACTAAAACAACCTTTCTTCTTTTTCTTTTTCTTTTGAACGGATCGTGCACCAGGGTCAACATCATACATCACTGCATGCACCAGGTCTCGTGGTACTTTGAGCCCATGTTCCTGTCTCAGTTTCTTTTGCATGGCCCGGTAGCCTAGAAGTGTTCCTGGGCCATTCAGCTCACCCCTGACTGCCTCCCACACGTCATCAACGGTGATATCTTTGTCGTTGTACATGTAGTATATACCAAGTGACGAAGCCTTCTACATGTATCCAACGACCGAAAACTCCAAGTGTAAACAGGAAAGTCCCTTCTCATGAAACTGAGAATCTCCTCTCGTTTAAGCAGTTGCTTTACATACTTGTCCAGCTCTTCTTTCAGGTCATTATCCTCCTTCCAAGCGTCATTTCGAGAGTAAAAAACGTCAGCACTAGGCCCCACGTTTGTGTCTTACCGATCTGTACACTGTAAAGGTAGAGTTGCTACTAGTCCTAGCCTTACCCTGTACTGGACTGCGCAATATTGGTACAGTACAGCGCGCGGCCCATCACCCCCACATAGAATTGTTTAACTCTATGCACCCCCATTTGCAAAGCACTGTGGGATACTATGGCAACCATAGGCCGTCACGAATATGAAATTCACTTTGAAATTGCTTTCATTTTGTGTAAAATCTACTTTCATTTTAAACATGAACTTGAAATTATTTTGATAAGAAATTTAAATTTGAAATTATTTTGATAAGAAATTTAAATTTGAAATTATTTTTATAAGAATTTTTAATTTGAAATTATTTATATAAGAATTTTAATTTTGAAATTATTTTTATAAGAATTTTTTTTATTTTTTAATTAACTTATATAGTTTTTTTGGAACGTTTTGAAAAGAAAACTATTTAGAGCGGTAACTTTTGAAATATTTACTGAAAAAGGGGAACGGCAATGAACGGCCACCATACATGTGTGATCAAAATGCACACGATGACGTGTTCTGGCGACTGCAGCACCCAGCTAACATACAGCATGGTACACTGGTTCCCTTCGCCAGCTAACGGAATCAATGCTATGATGAAGGACCGGAACCAGTGACTACTGCCTCTCTCCGGTCCATACTTCGTATCATACAGCATGATGATGAAGTTGGCCAAAGTTGGATCGTAAAAATATTACCAAAACAAACATCGCTGGAGAAAGAGAATTTCTGCAAATTAATTCACAGAACGTGATCTTTACTGTCTGTGTATGTGTTTTCCATTAAAATGACGAGATTGCAAAGCTTGAACTTGTGGCGAAACATCGTAGCATGTTTCTGCAGTAGTGCAAAATTTTCGGCCACGTGGGCCGTGAGCACGGCGCGATGTTCGGCCAGCCAGGCGGAATGTTGGCGGTGCCAGCCGCCGTGATGTATGTTAAGCATAAAGTGGAATCACCGACCTCAAATATATTTTTAATTAGGTGAGGCAAGTTTTAATCACTTTTGATAGCCAGTCTTGATAATTTTCGTGGCGCAAATGAAAATAATCCAGGCACAAAATAAACATGATTCCTTGCTCTATGATTAGTATACGAATTATGCTCCATTAATCAGCACCCCAAAAAAATTGGGGAAATAATTTTCCGACCAGCTGACGCTATTTTGAAAGGCATGTAATCAGAAGCAAAAGTTGTTTTTTTCTCTACCTTAATTTCTTAATTTTGAACTTACATGTAAATGTAATTCATACTTTTCTAATTAGGAAGCAGTGAAACACAGGTTGTGAAATGTGAAATTTTTTTTAAGTTAACAATTTCGATTGTTTTTAATTTAATTATAAAAATATTAGTGACCTACAAGATCTCCTCTGAATTTCAAGGACAAATCTTAAGATAAAGACCCCCAGATTTGCTCTAACATGCACCAGAGAGTTTCTTTTCAAACATTTTCGGGTTGTTGAATCACAGCAAATCTTCCCCCACATGTTTGAAAAAAATCCTGGGGAGAACCCTGGCCGACGATACAAATTAATTTGGATTGAAATGTATCGATTGAAAATCTTCAATGCTTGAATAGTGGTTTTATACGATTCTTTTGCAAAAGAACATGCATAGGCATGCAGAACTGAAATGAAGAAAAAAAAATTACAAAATGAAATTATTTCCCTACCTACCTACCTGGATTTCTTTCAGGCCGTTACCGTGAACACACCATTTGTTTTTGTTTGGCCTAATAAAAAAATTAGGGTAGGGGCTTGCAAACTGCATTTACAGTGGGTTTGAACATCTTTTGGAAGGAAAGTTATGTCTGAGGCATTCCTGGATCTCGAAGGAAAAAAAAACCCACTGCAAACTATTCAAGCAATCCTTTCAGCTAAGAACAGTGAGAAAATTTAACAAGTTACCTTAAGACCGCGATCCCCCAAGTCACACTCACTTTGTAAGCCCAATTAAGTATAATATGCCAGCCTGTATTATGCATGAAACTTGGTGTTTTGCTTGTTTTTGTGTGAAATTAGGCTGTGAAATTAGGCTGTGTATGGGTTTCCAAATCAATGAAAGCTTTTTTTTTTCTCGGGACTTAGTAAACAATAAAAATAGAACATTTTACCAAATATTTCTTTACTAGTTCATTTTTGCCCTTTTCATTTTACAGGCAGCTTTAATACATTATTAATGTGCATTTAATACAAATTATTTTGTATCTTTGCAGTTAAACACATCAAAGGCTACATGTACATCCGATGGATTATTCCATTAATGTTATACAATCCATATTTTACATCATATTGTGTTTTGTAATATTTTATGAGCAATTGGTTCATGTACCAGAATTAATAAGTCTGGAGATTGATCTGCTGGCTATTGACAGAAAGTCTTTATTGTGAAATAATCCTCTGCCATCTATAATCTTCTTAACCTTTACATCTAAGAGAAGTACAGTGTACATAAACCCTGACTTTACTGTTTTGTTGAACATATCAAACTCCTTGGCTTGATTGCAGGACATTTCATTAAAATTTAATAATAATCAGTAACCACTATCATATACATACACAGATTGAGTCTTCTTTTAATAATCCATGTCAAACAGATTAGTTAGATACAGTACATGTAGGTTTTTTCTTATGCTTTGATGCTTGTTGGATCAGTTACTGAATTATTGACCTTTGAAATCACAATTGGTGTGGTGCAGCCATAGAGCAAGGAACACCTGTTCAACCTGGCTCCAATGAGCTGACTGAACTTCTCTCTGGAAAGCACAGGCAAATCAGTCTCTGTAAAAAATCCACAACCAAAATTACAGAGTGTGCAATCAAAGCCAGGAACAATTACACAGCAGCCATGGCAATGAGTCTTAGCTGTTCAGGCACATTACATGTACATAGATTCCTATGCAAGTCCTCTTCTGGATTTCAAGGTATGGATGTGACCCTTTGGATTTCTGCTTTTGCAGGGTGGAGTTTCTGACTGTTCAGGTAAGAGCCGTTTGTTTTGAACCATCTGAAATGTACCACTGTATAACCGACCGATACATTTGGGCGATTCCAGCGTCTCTCACACTTCACTTATTTGCATCCTTTTACAATATTAGTGATGTACTTTTTAAAATGCAGGGAATAACCCTTTCATTGTTGGTATTGATATGCTCAATGCATACATGTAAGGCAACAACCCTATGGTATTGAGAAAATTAAATGATACATGTACTCAATATGAGCATGGCACTGTTTGACAAAAATGTCACTCTCATTTTGTAAGATGGAGGTGCCAAAAATTGTCTTGTTTTAAAGGTACTTTTTGTTTTCTTAAAATTAATGTGGCCTGACGTTGCGAACTTAGCAAGTTCTTCTTCAGAGGCTAAAACAGAAATGACAGAGGTACATACATTAACATGGGGGTGCACACAAACATGCAGGGCTGAAAGAAGAAACACAAAAGGAGGATTAAGTGGGAAAGGTGTAGAAAGATGCAGGGGAGGGTGGATGAGAGAACAAAGAAACAAAGGGAGATGGCAAACCACAAGGGGTCTGGTGTGAACAGGGGAGGGACCAGAAAGGGGAAGGATCAAAGGTCACAGGGGGTGGGAACGGACAAAAGAGTGTGAGAGTGAAGGGATGATGCGGGGGGGGGGGGGGGGAAACAGTATGGAGGTGGAAAGGGATGAAAGATGGGGGAAGATGGGTAAACACAAACAAGGAAGACCAGATGGATTATCTGTAACAGAAGACAATGGAGGAAAAAAAGGATTAATCATTTCCAAGTTGGATGTTGAGACCGTGTGGTTGGATAGTTCGAAGACGATTCATCCACACTTTCTCTCTGCTGAGGCGAACTGAGTCCTTGTGATGGCCAAGAGATTCAATGCCCTGCAAAATCATATCAGAAATGGAGTGGTTAGGCAGGTTGAAGTGATGACCAACAGGGGTGTCTAGTTTCTTGGTGTTGACCGTTGACCGGTGGGCATAGAAACGCTTCTTGAAGCAACAAACATGCTCAATTTCAAAAGAAGGCTGCTGAAACACTAACCTGATGAAGTTTCAGCCCGGCTTCAGCTGTTTATTCCAAGGGGAAAAAAATCCTACGATCCTGATTTGTTATGAAATGTTGCTGAATCATGTTCTCAATTGGGCCTGATGAATTCAGCGTCCGAGACACATTCTCTCTAAGCCGATTACATCTGGGCGATGTCGTGCAATAATCCGACAAATTATAGCAATTTCGTGTGTGTGTGTGTTGTGTCAATGCTTACGCGTGCATCGCCACAATAAAAAAGTGAACTACTAACAGAAATTTCCAATGGTGCGTCTTTAGACACAACGTTGGAAATTTCTTTAGACGCACCTTTGGAAATGCCTTCTTTCGTTGATTTCTTCAAAATGACAGCATGCCAAAAAGAATGATTTCGCAGGGAGTTCAGTCCCCTTACTACGTGTATATGTGTCTTTCAACCGAGTATTTTTTTTTTTAGCAAAAACTGTGTCAGTTACTTTTGGGATAGCTGCAAACGATAGACTGCAGCTTTTATTGAAAAGTTCCTCAAACCAAATGTACCACATTTAGTTCATGTTAATTCAAGAAAGTTTCACAACTTAATCATGATCCAACTCGTCTTACCGTGCAGCTGTGGGACTCATTGTGAGTTACTGGGAAATCGGATGTAGATTTTCTTCCCCCACTTCACCATTAAGCCCTTCTCAAAGAATGCCCAAATCTCCTTGCTCATCTTGCGTTGCTGTGTCAGACTTCGTCGTCGTCCTGT